CACTACTTAAAATAGCAAAGACATGGAATCAGCCTAAGTGTTCACCTAACACATGAATGGATAAAAAAGATATGGTGATATATACACAATGGGATATTACCAAGTCATAAAAAAAAAATGAAATAATGCCATTTGCAGCATGGATGGATCTAGAAATTATCATACTAAGTGAAGTAAGTCAGACAAAGAAAGATAATGATTTCGCTTATTGTATGTGGAAAGAATCTAAAATAAAAGCATACAAATGAACATATTTACAAACAGATTCACAGATATGGAAAGCAAACTTACGGTTGTCAAAGGGGAAAGTGGGGTGGAAGAGGGATAAACTAGGAGTTTAGGATTAACATATACACACTACTATATATAAAATATTGGGTTGGCCAAAAGGTTCATTCGGATTTTTCCATAGCATCTTACAGAAAAATCCAAATGAACCTTTTGGTCACCCCAATAGATAATCAACAAAGACCTACTGTATAGCATAGGGAACTATACTCAATGTCTTATAAAACCTATAACAGAAATGCATCTAAAAAATGTGTGTGTGTGTACCCGAATCACTTTGCTACACACCAGAAACTAACACATTATAAATCAACTACATTTCAAAAAAATTTTTTAATAAATTTTAAAAAATAAAAATTTGAAATGGCAAATGACTTGAATAGGCATTTCTCCAAAGATGATATATAAATGGCCAATAAGCATGTGAAGATACTCAATACCATTACTTATTAGAGAAATGCAAATCAAAATCAACATGAGATACCATTTCACAACCATTTGGATAGCTACTATCAAAACAACAACAGAAAATAACAAACGCTAGAGAAGATGTAAAGAATGGGTGGCTGCTATCTAAAAGTCTATAAGCAATAAATGCTGGAGAGGGTGTGGAGAAAAGAGAACCCTCTTACACTGTTGGTGGGAATGCAAACTAGTATAGCCACTATGGAGAACGTGTGGAGATTCCTTAAAACACTGGAAATAGAACTGCCATATGACCCAGCGATCCCACTCCTGGACATACACACCGAAGAAACCAGATCTGAAAGAGACACGTGCACCCCAGTGTTCATTGCAGCACTGTTTATAATAGACAGGACATGGAAGCAACCTAGATGTCCATCAGCAGACGAATGGATAAGAAAGCTGTATATGTACACAATGGAATATTACTCAGCCATTAAAAAGAATACATTTGAATCAGTTCTAATGAGATGGATGAAACTGGAGCTCATTATACAGAGTGAAGTAAGCCAGAAAGATAAACACCAATATAGGGTACTAATGCATATATATGGAATTTAGAAAGATGGTAACAATAACCCTATATGCAAGACAGAAAAAGAGACACAGATGTATAGAACAGACTTTTGGACTCTACGGGAGAAGGTTAGGGTGCAATGATCTGAGAGAACAGCATTGAAACATGTATATTATCAAGTGTGAAACAGATCGCCAGTCCAAGTTGGATGCATGAGACAAGTGCTCGGGGCTGGTGCACTGGGATTACCCAGAGGGATGGGATGAGGAGGGAGGTGGGAGGGGGGTTTAGGATGGGGAACACATGTAAATCCATGGCTGATTCATGTCAATGTATGGCAGAAACCACTACAATATTGTAAAGTAACTAGCCTCCAACTAATAAAAATAAATGGGAGAAAAAAAGAATGGGAACCCTTGTGCACTGTTGGTGATGTGAAATGATGTAGCCTCTGCAGAAATTAATACAGACATTCCTCAAAAAATTAACAGTAGAACTACTATATCACCCAGTAATTCCATTTCTGGGTATATATCAAAAGGAACAGAAAGCAGGACCTTGAAGAGGTAATCTATACACCCATGTTCATGTAGCATTATTCACAATAGCCATGAGATAGAAGAACCCAAATGTTCTGATGAGTTAACGGATGAAAAAATATGATATAAACATACAAGAAAATATTATTGAGCCTTAAAAGGAAGGAAATCCCATCACACACCACAACATGGATGAACTTTGAAGACATTATGCTAAGCAAAATAAATCAGTCACAAAATGACAAATGCTGTATGAGGGATCTAAACTAATCAAATCAAATTCATGGAAACAAAGTAGGATGGTGGTTGCTAGGGGCTGGAAAGAGGAGGAAAGAAGGAGTTGTTTAATGGACACAGAGTTTCAGTTTTGCAAGATGAAAAAGTTCTGCAGAAAAAGTTCTGCGAAGGAAGAACTTTGCAGACAAAGTGAGTAAGCTTAACACCACTACAACATTTAAAAATGGTTAAGATGGTAAATTTTCTAACTGTAATTTTTAAGGTAGGCAGATAGGCAGAAGAAGCAGAGATCAAACTGCCAAAATCCATTGGATCATCAAAAAAGCAAGAGAGTTCCAGGAAAGTATCTGCTTCTGCTTTTTTGACTACACCAAAGCCTTTGACTATGTGGATCACAACAAACTTTAAAAATTCTTCAAGAGATGGGAATACCAGACCACCTGACCTGCCTCCTGAGAAATCTGTAGGAAGGTCAAGAAGCAACAGTTAGAACTAGACATGGAACAACAGACTGGTTCCAAATCGGGAAAGGAGTACATCAAGGCTGTATATTGTCATCCTGATTATCTAACTTCTATGCAGAGTACATCATGTGAGATGCAGAGTACATCATGTGAGATGCCGAGCTGGATGAAGCACAAGCTGGAATCAAGATTGAATCAAGATATCAATCAAGAAACAGAATGACAGCACCCTTATGGCAGAAAGCAAAGAAGAACTAAAGAGGAGAGTGAAAAAGTAGGCTTAAAACTCAACATTCAAAAAACTAAGATCATGGCATCCAGTCCCATCACTTCATGGCAAATAGAAGGGGAAACAATGGAAACAGTGAGAGACTTTATTTTCTTGGGCTCCAAAATCACTGCAGATGGTGGCTTCATTACTTTGCCAACAAAGGTCTGTCTAGAAGCTACGGTTTTTGGTGTTGGAGAAGACTGTTGAGAGTCCCTTGGACAGCAAGGAGATCAAACTAGTCAATCCTAAAGGAAATCAGTCCTGAATATTCATTGGAAGAACTGATGCTGAAACTGAAACTCCAATACTTGGGCCACCTGATGCAGAGAACTGATTCATTGGAAAAGACCCTGATGCTGGGAAAGACTGAAGGCAGGAGGAGAAGAGGACTACAGAGGATGAGATAGTTGGATGGCGTCACTGACTCAAAGGACATAAGTTTGAGCAGGCTCTGGGAGTGATGATGGACAGGGAAGCCTGGCATGCTGCAGTCCATGGGGTTGCAAACAGTCGGACAGAACTGAGCAATTGAAATGAACTGAGATAGTTCCACATGGTTCAGCTTGCACATGAGTCTGAGGGAGAGGAGGTTAATATGAAGAACAAATGTAATGGTATTCTACTGTGAGCTATTATATTAATTATAAATACTGAGGGGGCTCTTTTAGGGGGAGAAGAGTTTTATCTTTTTCACTGAAAGTAGAATATATAGCCTGCTATGGGTAAAAATACTTAGATCTTCAAATGTTTTTGAGAGATTAGCCTATCAGACTTTTTAAAACTGTTTCCAGGGACTTCCCAGCAGGTCCAGTGGTTAGGACTCCACACTCCCAATGCAGAGGACACGGGTTTGTTTGATCCCTGATGGGGGAGCTGGATTCACATGCCACAACTAAAACCCAGTGCAGCCAAATAAATATTTTTTTAAAAAAAGATTTCAACTGTTGGAGTGAATCTCCTAGCATAGATGCATGGATAACAGACTACAGTGAGTGTCTCTAGATGATTTTGCTGAGCCCCAACCTGGGATGAGACCCAAACTAGAGGAGCCCTTGGAAAGTCTATTTGTTTCTGGAAATTTAGGGTTTTTCTAGTAGACTTATAAGACTATAAGACTATCTAGTCTGTTAAAAGCCTGCCTTTAACTCATTAGTCTTGGTATTTTTGTTAGGGTAAGAGATGAGTTTTTCTGTTATTAATGGTTCATCTCTAACCCTACTGAGCAGAGTATCAAATCTACTTTTATTCTGAATCTTTCTTGGGCTAAATAGCAATGGTTATCTCAATTTCTTTGGTGTTGATCATTTATTCAAAGACCAATCTTATCCTATGAAGGGTGGAAAACCATAATTTATTGAGTACCTACTACACATCAGTCAGCATACTGGACAATTTGCCCACTTTTGTTTGTTTGTTCCTAAACTAGATGATTACATTGTACACTTAAGCTAAAAATATTAAGTTAGTTGCCCAAAACCTAGGCAGGGGAGAACTAGGATTCAAACTGAGATCTGCCATATATTTCTAGTATATTGGATCACCTCTATAGTCACAAAGAGTTATAAGTAGAATTGTCTGGTCTATTCAGTTTATTTCAAATAAAAATAAAAAGGGAAAATACTCTCTTTTTCATCTATTTTACTTATTTAATAAAGAGTGGATGGCCCAAAGCAGTGTTCTCTAAATTTTTATGCCTCCCCCTCCTCTCAGTATGACAGCCAGAAAAATAGTGGTACCTAACCAGGAGACTATTATTAAAAGCTGTAAGAATCAGTGCGGATGCTTATGTCATAATGTATTCCTAATACTGTTGACCACCATTCTTTCTGTACATAAAATCTAACTGTCTTCATTGCCCAGTTCATTGACTGAACTGACAAGCAATTAAATTCTAGAATTGTGACATCAGGATTTTAAGACTAGAGCTAAATTATTCAATAGAGAATAGAATAAAAAGTCATTTACTTAGAAATACCATGAATATATTTTCATCTTAAATTTCTCATAGTAGGAAGCACAACATGTATATTCATTTTTCCACAATACCTACCACAAGAAATGCTTATTTCTTTTAATACACTAAGACTACTCACTAAAATAAGTACCTGAAAAACTTTGAATATTTGTTAATATTGAAAAAAAAAAAGTTCATGCTTGTTACCACTTCTTAAGAATGATGGAGACCTGACTTCCTGTTTCTGTTGTTAATCTGCATCATGTTAGAAAGAAGGAATAGGCAGAGGTTCCAGGAAGGTGTGATGCTTCTTAATTCGGTTTAGAAGCTGCTGTGCCACCGGTCTGAATTCTGTTTCCCAGTGGAGTTTGTGATAGTTTTTTAGGTCTTGGTCAAAACTCCCATTCAATGCTAGTTCTTCATCTGCATCAGAAAAATTAAAATTACAGCAATTACTTAGAAATGTAATCCTACTGAATGGTTTAATTTTTGATGGCATTTTAAACTCATTCTGAGTCATCCCTAATTGCAACAAGGCTTTTTTACGGGAGTAGTTCTTTATAGAAAAAATTTTAAGTAAGTATATGATAGTTTCTTAATTAAAAAAAAAAAAGATAATAATCTTGAGGACTTCCCTAGCAGTCCAAGTGGTTAGGACTCTATGCCTCCACTGCAGGGGGCCTGGGATTGGATCCCTGGTCAGGGAACTAAGATCGTGCATAGTGTGTGGCATGGCAAAAAATAATAATCAAAGATAGCAATCTTCCTTAAAAAAAAAAAAAAAATCCTAGACTGAATTGAGTTCTTACTTCAATTTATCCCTAATGTTACATCTAACTTTATATCCAAAAGTCAGATCACAATTTCTCAGAACAAACTATGAATAGATTATTTCCTTATCTGCACATTAAAAATGTTAATTATTAATTCTTCAGTGGTTGACAAATATAAAAGAAGTTAGGAAAATCTTTTGGGAAAGTAGCACAGTTGAATTTGACTGAAAATGACTGAAAATCAACTTTGCTCAGTTCAGAGCAGCCTGGACAAACTTCGTTGAAAAGATAACCCCTCCCTCCCCCTGCCACCTTACGCTCACCCCAATAAAAGTGAAAAATGGAAGACTTTGAGAATCCTAAGCAATATTAGAATCCCAAGTGAATCCATGTATAATGCAGAAAAGCACTTGTTAAAAAAATGCAAAATTACGACATTGATTTGTTTCTTAATCCAACAGCACTTTCAATTCTGTGAATATCATGAAAGTATATCCAACCCAAGTTGGAAGACAAATGGCTACTGAGGTTTCTGCACTGACCCGCCACTGCATTTCTGTTTACACTGGAAACCATGAGAAGGACTTCAGGAAAATGCACTGGCATGCCAGTCAGAAGGTTGGCTCTATCACTTCCTAGGTCTGAGGCTGAGGCAGACTTCTTAAGTGCTAACCACTAAGTCCTAAATTGACCACAAATATTGCTGCTTGCATAATTTGCAAACTTCTTTCATAAGGCCCACTAAAATCCTACCATCAAATGCTTCCTTGGTGCTTACATCAAATTTCCTACCCTGAATATTTTCGGTACACACGATGTACACTGTGTGTACTTTGGCACTACTGGTGTTGGTGTCACCACCCAGAATAAGATAAGTCTGGAATCCCAGTTTGTACCTTCCCGTCCTTTCCCCTGGCCAACTGGACAGCTATGCAACTCTGAGATAAGTTCTGGGCAGACACAAACAATTCAACAAAGCTCTCCATGGAGACCCCTGTAAGCAAACCTAACTCTCCCCACCCATTTGATAATCAAGGCCTTGAAAGAAGGAGAATCCAGATGGTGTTTGATGCCTTAAAAGTCCTTCCTGTTGGGCTATTTCCAAAGCGGTCTGTGAGACTCTGAGTGCTCTTGAATTCCTAGATCTACTTCCTGCTCACTCTTCTGCAGATGTTCTGAGTACTAAACTTTTGTTAAAAATGATTTCTTTTTTTTATGCTCTTTTTCCAAAGCAGCTTAGACTGATGGCTGCCCAGGCAACCTTCAGTCTTTTTCTCTGTCCAGAACTTTGACTGGGTTTGATGATTTTAGCCAAGTCACTGTTTTGGTGTCTGGGGTTTCTTAATCTAACATCGAGACTATATTATTCTTCTTGAGGCTCAACGTATAATTAGTTAATCTACACTTGTACCCTCTTAATTGTAAATTGGGTTAGGCATGATAACAAAAGTGGCCAAATAACTATAGATAAGAGAAAAGCAGTCTCAAGTTGCAAAGCAAATACAGCAAACGCATAAAATGTGTCATATTACACTAGATGTTAAATTTTGGAACTTGTATTACAATGAACAGCAGAGGCTAACCCAAGAAAAACTTAGATCTATGATTTTCAAACTTTTTTTTTTTTACTGTGACCTAGGAAGTCCATATTACATGATGACTATATACACATATTTATATATTTATAAACAAATAACAAATGATTCATGATAGAATACTTATCTTTTCTACATGTAATATATTCTGATATTCTTTTTGTTTGCTGCTTCATTTTTCAAACTGGTCACAGTGTGAAAAGTACTGATTTAGATAACCAGTTATTGCCCAACTTTCTTTGTACACAGCACACTTCCAAAAACTAGAATTTTAGGTAAGATTTTAGAAAGGATTAAAAGACAAAAAGGCAGAACACTGAAAGATGAGCCCCCCAGGTCAGTAGGTGTCCAATATGCTACTGGGGAAGGGCAGAGAAATAGCTCCAGAAAAAATGAAGAGGCTGAGCCAAAGCAGAAACAATGCCCAGCTGTGGTTGTGTCTGGTGGTGAAAGTAACGTCCGATGCTGTAAAGAACAATAGTGCATAGGAACCTGGAATGTTAGGTCCATGAATCAAGGTAAATTGGACATGGTCAAGCAGGAAATGGCAAGAGTCAATATTGACACTTTAGGAATCAGTGAACTAAAATGGATGGGAATGGGTGAATTTGATTCAGATGACCATTATATATCTACTACTGTGGGAAAGAATCCCTTAGAAGCAAAGGAGTAGCCCTCATAGTCAACAGAAGAGTCTGAACTGCAGTACTTGGGAGCAATCGCAAAAAAAGACAGAATGATCTCCATTTGTTTCCAAGGCAAATCATTCAACATCAGTGTAATCCAAGTCTATCTTTCAATCACTAATGCTGAAGAAGTTGAAGTTGAACCATTCTATGAAGGCCTATAAGACCTCTTAGAACAAACACCAAAAAAAGATGTCCTTTTCATCATAGGGGACTGGAATGCAAAAAGTAGGAAGTCAAGAGATATTCGGAATAACAGGCAAGTTTGGCCTTGTAGTACAAAATGAAGAAAGGCAAAGGTTAACAAGAGTTCTGCCAACAGAACAGGGTCATAGCAAACACCCTGTTCCAACAACACAACAGATGACTCTACACATGGACATCACCAGACAGTCAATATTGAAATCAGATTGATTATATTCTTTGCAGCCAAAGATGGAGAAGCTCTATACAGTCAGGAAAAACAAGACCAGGAGTTGACTGTGGGTCAGATCATGAACTCTTATTGCAAAATTCAGACTCAAATTGAAGAAAGTAGAGAAAACCACTAAGCCATTCAGGTATGACCTAAATAAAATCCCTTATGATAACATAATGGAAGTGATGAATAGTTCAAGGGACTAAATCTGGTAGACAGAGTGCTTTAAGAACTATGGGCGGAGGTTCGTATCATTGTACAGGAAGTGGTGACTAAAATCATCCCCAAGAAAAATAAATGCAAGAAGGCAAAGTGATTGTCTGAGCAGGCCTTACAAATAGCTGAGAAAAGAAGTGAAAGGCAAAGGACAAAGCGAAAGATAAACCCAACTGAGTGCAGAGTTCCAGAGAATAGCAAGGAGATAAGAAAGCTTTCTTAAGTGAACAATGCACAGAAACAGAGAAAAACAGTAGAATGGGAAAGACCAAAAATCTCTTCAAGAAAATTAGAGATACCAAGAGAATATTTCATGCAAATATGGACACTATAAATGAAAGAAATGGCAAGGACTTAAGAAGAGGTGTCAAGAATACACAGATGATCTGTACAAAAAAGGTCTTAATGACCCCGATAACCACAATCATGTGGTCACTCACCTAGAGCCAGACATCCTGAATGTGAAGTCAAATGGGCCTTAAGAAGCATTACTATGAACAAAACTAGGGAGGTGATAGGATCCCAGCTGAGTTATTTCTAATCCTAAAAGATGATGCTGTGAAAGTGCTGCACTCAAAATGCCAGCAAATTTGGAAAACTCAGCAGTGGCCACAGGACTGGAAAGGGTCACTTTTCATTCCAATCCCCAAAAAAGGCAATGCCAAATAATGTTTAAACTACCATACAGTTGTACTCATTTCACACGCTAACAAGGTAATACTCAAAATCCTTCAAGCTAGGCTTCAACAGTATGTGAACCGAGATCTTCCAGATATACAAGCTGAATTTAGAAAAGGCAGAGGAACCAGAGATCAAATTGCCAACATCTGCTGGATCATAGAAAAAAACAAGGGAATTTTTTAAAGTCTACTACTGCTTCATTGACTATGCTAAAGCCTTTGACTGTGTGGATCACAACAAACTGTGGAGAATTCTGAAAGAGATGGCACTATCAGACCACCTAACTTGCCTCCTGAGAAACCTGTATGCAGGTCAAGAAGCAACAGTTAGAACCAGATACGGAACAGTGGACTGGTTCAAAAGTGAGAAAGGAGTCCATCAAGGCTGTATACTGTCACCCTGCTTATTTAACTTACATGCAGAGTATATTATGTGAACTGCCAGGTTGGATGACGCTCAAGCTGGAATCAAGTTTGCCAGGAGAAACATCAACTTCAGATATGCAGATGATAGCACACTAATGGCAGAAAGCAAAGAAGACCTAAGGAACATCTTGGTGAAGGTGAAAGAGGAGAGTGAAAAGGCTGGCTTGAAATCAACATTCAAAAAACAAAGATCATGGCAGCTGGTCCTATCTCTTCATGGCAAATAGATGGGGGAAACATGGAAACAGTGACAGATTTCATTTTCTTGGGCTCCAAAATCACTGCAGCCATGAAATTAAAATATGCTTGCTCCTTTGAAGAAAAACTATGACAAATCTAGACAGCATCTTAAAAAGCAGAGACATCACTTTGCCATCAAAAGTCAGTACAGTCAAAGCTATGGTTTTTCCAGTAGCGATGTACAGTGTGAGAGTTGGACCATAAAGAAGGCTGAGTGCCGAAGATTGATGCTTTTCAACTGTGGTGTTGGAGAATACTCTTGAGAGTCCCTTGGACAGAAACAAGGAGATCAAACCAGTCAATCCTAAAGGAAATCAACCCTGAATATTCATTGGAAGGAGAGATGCTAAAGCTGAAGCTCTAATACGCTGGTTACCTAATGTGAACAGCTGACTCATTGGAAAAGACCCTGATGCTGGGAAAAACTGACAGCAGGAGGAGAAAGAGGTGACAGAGGAAGAGATGGTTGGATGGCATCACTGACTCAATGGACATGAGTTTGAGCCAACTCCAGGAGATAGTGAAGGACAGGGAACCTGGTGTGCTGCATCCATGGAGTCACAGAGAGTCGGACACAACTGAGCGACTAAACAACAACAACAAAAGGAATTAAAACAACTCTGTCAGTGACCATTATAATATGGTCTCTACTACAGTTTAAGGATCCTGCACATCACTGCACTCTTGCCTACCCTGTTGTTCAGCACCAGGTAGCTACCATGGGTTTGATTACTGTTATAACTCTTACAAGGCACAGTTCTCACATATTCTAGAAGCACCTGATGACTCTTTGGCATAAGCATGATGATGTGACCCTCTACTTTGAATGCTGGGGCCCCCTCTATCCCTTATCACATAACCTAGGTTCTAAGTTCCACGTATCTTGTTATTTAGTTGCTAACTTGTGCTCAACTCTTTGCAACCCCATGGACTGTAGCCCACCAGGTTCCTCTGTCCATGGGATTTCCCAGTCAAGAATACTGGAGTGGGTTACCATTTCCTTCTCCAGGGGATCTTCCTGACCCAGGGATCAAACCTGTGTCTCCAGCATTGGCAGGCTGATTCTTTACCATTGAGCCACCTAGGGAAGCCCTCCACGTACCTCAGATGAATATAAGATAACCTAGAGTCATTTACATTCACAACAACAAACTGCACATGCTAATCAGCAGTGTATACTGGTGATCACCAATTGCCAGCCACCCTGAGAGAAGCTCATGGTAGTGTGCCAGGGCATACCACCTAAGAACTTCAAGATAAACAGATTGCTCATGAGTTTATAAGGAGTGGCTGTAGCACATCAGGAAGTTTTAGACCACATTCTTTTTAAGCCACTTTCCTAAAAGACTGTCAACATCCCAACCACACTGAGTCCCATTACTTTCTTTTTCCAGCTTCCCATCAAGAAAAAGTTGGGTAACTTACATTGCTATATCAATTGCCTACCATGATTTCTAAAAACAGTGCTCACACTACATTGTGGGACTTTTTTGATATAACAGCTCATCCTGTTTTCAAAATGACCTGTTGTTTTCTTAACCTATCGCTGTAAAAAAATTGAAATTTTAAGTATACTCTCACTCATATACACATTTCAACTGCTGCCCCACAGCTGGTCCGACACAACTACAGCCTGTGTCAGAAGTAAGGCTCTGAGGCCCACACTGTGGAGAGAGGAGCCAGGAAGTAGCCAGTCCTCACGGCTCATAAGCAGCACTCGTGATCACGTGAGAAGTGCATGCCACGCTCTGATGATGACCTGGCTCCCTGGTGGACTATGTTTATTTTTCTTACCCGTGCCTGCATCCCCTTCCAGGGTTGGGTGGGATGGGGTGGGGTAAGGGCATCCTATGTAATGGAGCAGCAGAAAAACACGGGGGCTTGATGTTTACTTTCTGATGAAAAGCCCTGGCTTTGCTACAGTATGATCTTAGACAAGTCACTTACTTAACCCTCCTAGAGGAACCTACCTCAACTGTCACCTAGCTGATGACCTTAGATCTTAGAAGGGTAGAATGAACGTCCTTTTAAAAGTATACAGCACTATTAAAGATACCACTATTATCAGTTGATCCACAAGCATCTATCAAGAACCTGCTTTGCCCAAGGCAATATCCTCTCCTTAAAGTGGCTCCGTTGGAGTGGGGAAACAAAAGGTACAAAACAATAATACAGAACAAGTTACACAGCTCATGATTAATTGCTATGTAAGCAGCACAGCTTCCCTATGACTGTGGGCTTGGAAAGCTCACGAGAAGGGCCTGCCAGGACCGGCAGCCTTGGGCCAGGCAGGTAAGAGACCTGGCCAGAGCAAAGGTGCAAGGTTAGGGAAGCATGAGAGGAAGCCCAGTCCTGCTCCAGACAGGGCTGACGGAGGGAAGAGGCAGGAACAGGCCCATTATAGTCAAGGGCATGCCAGGTGTGCTGCCCACCTGTGAAGCCAGCCATGCCCACATCCCTTCTTAGGTGGTGCCACACGGCCCCACCAGTTTGCTACATATGGTTGACTGCCCCAGACTGAGGTGCCAAAGGAAGCCACAGACAGCCTGCAGTGGAGGCAGCTGCTGCCTGAGGCACGAAAGCCTAAAGCCCAGGAAAATGACTCATGGGACCAGTCACATCTTCTCCCCAAATGGGAGACAGAAAGTCGTGCCAACAGCAGAGGAGACAGAGGCCCCCTCACGACAGCAGCAAGACGCGGCCTTGAGACAGCTGGAGCCACGGCCACGCAGGAGCCTCGAGGGGACGAGGGGGACAGAGGCTGTCTCCTTGAGAGCGGAGACAGAGCACTGCTGAGCCTCAGCAGGGTGGAGTAGATGATGCCTGCTACCGATGGGGCCACCTTCCACATCCTGAGTGCTGGTCCAGCAGGCTGGGCAATGCACATGTTTCCCAGCTTCCTTCTTTCCGGGGCATCCTTCCCTTCAGCTCCTTCACTGACCGGGGCGGAGTTCTCAGTGCTGCCCGAATAGCAGACTCACCTGTGGAACTTTTTAATGATGCAGATAATTGGCCTCCCCCAGAGTTCCTGAATCAGAATTCCTGGGAATGGGGCCAGGACAACTGTGGTTTTTTTGATTGATTTTTCTTTTTAATTCCATATGTTCTGATTCCAATGTTCTGCCATAGTCGAGAACTGAATTAAAGCAAGTTGAACACACTTCTGCTCCCAGCAACCCAAGAAAACTTCAAGTCCACAGAGCAGAATGTGAACCTCAATGATTTTAAATTGTGCTCATTTTGAGAAGGGAACCCTCCAACATTGTTGGTGGGAATGTCAATTAGCACTGCCACTATGGAGAACAGTATGGAGGTTCCTTAAAAAACTGAAAACAGAACTACCATATGACCCCACAATCCCACTCCTAGACACCTATCTGGAGAAAAACATGATTCGGAAGGATACATGAGCCGAAATATTCACTGCAGCAAAATATGGAAGCAACCTAAATGTCTGACAGAGGAACAGATAAAGAAGATGTGGTACTTCATATACGATGGAATATTACTCAGCTATTAAAAACAAGGCTGTCTGTTGCAACATAGACGGACCTAGAGAGTGTCATACTGGGTGAAGTAAGTCAGACAGAGGAGAAATACAACATGATATCCCGTACATGTGGAATCTAAAAGGAAATGATACAAATGAACTCACTTACAAAACAGAAAGATACTCACAGAAAATGAACTGGTTGCCAGGGGAAGGGATGGTTAAGGGACCAGGGGAAGGTCATGTACACACTGCTATATTTAAAATGGATAACCTACAAGAACCTATTACATAGCTTTCTTTCAAATAGCTCTGGTCCGGAGTTCCCGTTTAATAACATATTGTTACAACAATAGAATTTACCAAGCATTTTCACAACCGTGTTTTGAGAACCAGCTGTGTGTCAGGTTCTATGTGAATTCTTTGTGCATGTCTATTCATTTATCATCCTAACAACTCTGCAAGTGAAAGTGAAGTCGCTGTCGTGTCCGACTCTTTGTGACCACACGGACTGTAGCCTACCAGGTTCCTTCATCCATGGGATTTTCCAGGCAAGAATACTGGAGTGGATTGCCAGTTCTTTCTCCAGAGGATCTTCCCAACCCAGGGATCAAACCCGGGTCTCCCGCATTGAAGGCAGATGCTTTACCATCTGAGAAGCCCAACAACTCTGCAAAGTGGGTGTCAATCATCCCCATCTTAGACACGAGAAGATATACATTCAGAGGTTAATATGCACTGAGTTAAAACCCTGCATGTGATAAAGTGAGACCTTAACTCAGAGCTGCCTGACTATAGCCTCTCGGCTTCCTGGAATGCTCTCAGGATGCCTGTTTGATTCTCACAACTCCCTGCAACACAGCACGGACATAACGTCCCCATTTTACAGATGGAAAGACAGGTTCTTAGAGAGTCTTATGTCGAATCACACCATCCCAGAGAGTCAGGATTTGAACTCACAGCCTCTGGGTCACACTGAGCCTTTCCGCATGGCTTTGCTGAGCCAACATGGTGCTTGGGAGATGATAGGCACATCTTCATTTTGGAAAATGAAGATTTTCCACTCACTTCTGACCTAAATCACTGCTGTTAGACCTAACCCAGGATGAGGAGAACTATCCTAAACATAGAAACTTTTGAAAAAAAAAAAAACTTTTGCAATGGAAGACACTCTCATCTTTCCTTTGGTTTGCATCAGTTACTTCCTACCTTTCAGTGTATGTCGGACGACACAGTAATATCAAATAATTTCACAGACTCTCCCCACATAACACAATCATATATGCACAGGTTCATTAAAAGCATGACTTATTTCGGAGTAGCTTTTAACCATCTTTTCTCAATTACAACAATGTCTATATATTTTTTAAACAACAGCAATACATTTATGCCCAGATCGTCTATTTATGCAGCTTATAGAAAATTCAAAAGAAAGGGGGAAAGCCACAAAAGAAATCATGACACCACCCAGTGAGTTATAAGTCCTCATGTCCCCACTGTATATAAGATTCAGCCTCTTCCAGGTATCTCCAAATTATAATCGTCTTTAAGTTCTCTCGTTCCTTATCAAAAAAAAGCTACCCAAATGCCTACCAATCTTTATCCACACAGGCCACAGGAAATGATTTTTCTCATTTTGGTAAGATTCACAGATTCACAGTCAGGAGTCTTACCTAAAAATGATGACAGCAGGGCTAAGAGTGTGTTGGCAGCCTCATCTCCAAAACAGGATGAAGCATTGGTGATGTTTTCACTGAAGTTCCATAGCGTTTTGCAAACCAAGCAGGCCAGCTGCCAATCAGTAGGCCCAAAATCTCTTAAACAATCCACTAACCTAAGTGAAAAGTCAAATTGAGAAGTTATTAGGTCAGCACCTTTTTTATATTTTTAACATGATGATTAGCTTTCTTTGATACTGAATATACATTTTATATATAATTCAGTGTTATTAAAATAACTTCACATCTACCAATTTAAGTAATTAACAAATTTAAACAATAACCTACTTCTGAATTATTTTAAGCGTCCAGTGGAATCTAAATCCCCTCTTTAGCCTAGCTGGGCACTTCCAAATGGAGAAATCTCTCTGCCCGGGAGAAATGAGGAGAGGGGCCTAAGCTCCCCTGTGAATCCTGATAGTCAGAACTCCATGCCTTGAACTTACTTTTTAATGCCACCTCCTTCTTTTAGGATGACTCGCTTGTCTCTATCCACGGTGAGGTTTAGGAGAACACCACAGGCAGAAAAGCAAATATCCTGATGCTTAGCACCCAGCAGAGCAATCATGAACTTGTGGACTGGAAGGGCAGAGAACAAATGCAGACCAGTGAAGCGCAGGGGCCCCAGCTGTATTTCATTCCACAAATGGCAGAGGGGAAATGGGGAGCAGCTTGTGAAACTGGAAACCCTGCCGGGAGACTCAGTCCACTCTCCGTACGGCTTCCCCACTGCCCAGTGGGGAAAGCGCCTTCACCAACACCCAACACCCGTCACTTCAGAACCTGCTCCCCGCCCCGCAGGGTCCCTGTTCGCAGGTACTGCTGTATCCACCGCAGCATCAGCTCTCCCTTCCAGGCAGGGGGAGAGCCCCTGCCCGTGGAGAGGAGGGAACCACCTCCTTCCAATCACACAGGTGCCATTCGTTTCATCTCTAACTTCTGGTTGTTCTCAAGGGCTCTTTTAAAGCTCCAGCAGGAATTTTCTTAAAATACACAGCCCTGGAAGGGGGGGCGGGGAGAGTAGGGTTCAGTGGAGATCTTCCTGGGAAGTCCTCCAAGGCCATAGCTTGTAAGAGAAGACTTGCTCAGACTGCTGGAAACCAGTCTGCAGGGAGACCAGACTTCCAGTGTAGGGGACATCTTATATCAGGACAGGCTCCCCCCGGCCCCCACCGCCTTCCCTTACTCCTAGAAACGGAACTCTTTGTCCTGTTTGCTCACTGCCCCCAGCAAGGGTTGGGGGAGAATGAATGGGTGTGTGCTCCGGTTCCACTGTTCACTTGGGAGGCAGCCTTGGCCTACCGATGGGTCAGCAGTGAGTTTGGCAAAGGCTGAATCACATATGTTTTTAAGAGTTTAAAGAATATACATCGAAATGTTAACAATTATCTCTGGGGAAGTGTTTTTTTCAATCTGTATTATACAAATTTTCTATCATGAAAATGAATAATTAGGTATTTTTAGTTACTGTTTTTACATGAGATATTTGAGAAAAACAATATGTTTAGTATACACTCCTATGTACCTGCTACACAGTTTAAGAAATAAAATATTACAGATCCAATTTTATATTTGGGGCATCCATTCAAATGTAAATGTCTTAAATGTGGAGTTTCTAATTCCAAATGCATTTATGCCTTATTCCATTAGCACATGAGTACATTACATAAACAATACCCAGGACCATTTCGCATGTTTTAATACAATATTAAGGTATTATTTCATATGCGTCTTCCTATTACTACTAGCTTTTTTGCTCCTATAGTATGTGTTGGAGGTTGATGCATGTTGATACATGAACTTCTAGCTCATTTATTTTAACTGCTGTAAAAGTTTGGTTGCATGAATATACCATAACATATTTATCCTCTTACCTGTTGATGGACATTTAGGTTGTCTACATTTTTCACTATTACAAGCAGTCCTATAATAGACATTCCAGTGCATGAAGGAGCATGTCTTTTGAGTCCATTCCCATGGACAGAAATGATGTGTATAGATTACTCATTTCACTCATTTCACTTAAACACAAACACATACACACACAATCTCAAAACTCAAAAGACCACTCATCAGGGAGAGGGAAACCCTGAGAACACAGCCCAGATCCATCTTGGCATCCTGAGCCAAGAGCCTTACAGATGGATGGAACAGAATGTAAAGCACTGCTTGTCCCAAAGCAGAAACAAGTGTCATGTTCTTGTGACCCAAGCTGCAAAACCACTCAGTTGTTTATTGCCAAGACGTGACTGTTTTTGAATGTATGTCATTAACTCACCATTTTTCTGCACTATGAAATCGCAGATGTCATGGTCCTGGGAGAGATTTCCAAAAACACGCACAGCCTCTAGGATTCCATCCATGTTGTTACTCACGAGGAGCTTTAAGAGCACTGGGTTTGGTGACCAGAGAAATAAAATCAGTGAATTTAAGTTGTTAGTTAAAGGCTATTAGAAACCAATATCATGCTAAATACTGTAACTTAAAAATTAAAAATGATAATAAAATTCCAATGATAGGGGACTTTAGCAAGAACTAAGAAACTCATGTGTCCCCATATTCAGCTTTCTTAGAATTAAATCAGGCTCTTAGAGACTTGTACCAGAAGTCAGAAACTATAAATGCCTTTAGTTCTGTGTTTAGTTAGTTAATAAAGTCAAAACCTTAAATGAACATACATCTACCTAAACCCAACTCTGAACCTTACATTCAGCAATATATAGCTTTCTGTCTTGAATTATGGAATTCTTCACTTGGTAGTAAGATAAGTTGTTGATAGTTGCCGTAGTGTTGATCACCAGCTCCTCGCAATCATCAATTGACTTGGATTCTGAAATAAAGTGAGCACAGGGTATCAAAGACTCGCTGCAGGGCAGAAGCCACCACCTCCTGACTGCAGCCCAGCTGATACAGGGACCAGCCGCTGTCCCAGGCAAGGTCTACACAGACATGATGGTGCTGCTTTATTTCCCATGACTCTTCCTGCAGGGAAATGCGCCCATGGCAGAGGACCACTCCAGGCCAGCATTTGGAACACTCTAAGCTCAGTCCCTCTACCCAGGGGTCTGGAAAAGTCAGGCTGATCTAGTCCCTGTATGCAAAGGTGAGCAGAGCTGGTCTGCCCTGACCCAGAACTATTCCGGGGCCTGCACCTTGGGAGTCTGTTCCCTGGGCCCTCGACCTCCCGACAGAAGGGCCCTTGGGTTGTAACCCATCTGTACTTCCTATCAGTTCTGCCTTCCAAACACGCAGGCTCTGACTGCCTCTCACTTCCTCTACCACCACCTCGTCCGTCTTTCACCTCCTCACTGGCTTCTCTGCTTCGCCTTTGCCTCCCTGAGCCTGCCCTCAATGTACAGATCCTTTCAAAGTCAGCCAGACAAAGCACTCATCTCCCCTGGCCCACAGGCCCGACCTGGCTGCCCAGTCCTTACCTCCCGGGCCTTATTTGCTGCTCCAGCCCCCACGTCCCTGATGCCAACCACACCAGTCTTTCCCTCTTTTTGAGCATTTCAGCCTGAGCCTGCCCAAGAACCTTTGCGCTGCTAGTCCCCCTGTCTGGATTATTCCTTCCTCCAGTTATCCTGGCTCACTCCTCATGTCCTTCTGGCTGCTGCTTAGCTATCACCTTATTGGACATAGTCTCCTTAGCCACTCGGTATAAAATAGCATTGTTACCCACATCCCACTCCCCATCTTTCCTGTAACACATGGGACCACCTGACTTCTGTGTTTAATGTCTATCTTCCAGCTCTAAGGTGTAAGCCCCATGAGACTAAGGACTCATTCTTTGCATTATCACATTCTCAGCATCGAGAACAGTGTCTGCACACAGTGATGCTCAACAGATAATGAGTAAGAACCTGCTGTATACCACAGGGAACTCTACTACACACTCTGTAATGACCTGTATGGGGAAAGAATCTAAAAAAGAATGGATATGGTGAATGGCAGTGAAGAGGCCCAGGTGTCCTCTGCTCCTGGGCCTTCTCCAACATTGGCTCCAGCCTTCCCAAGACCCCCATCCTGGCGACTCCAGGAGGGCCTCTGCCTCGGCCCCCGGGCAGCATGTAGACCAACATCCAACAGCCAGTGAAGGTTTACACACTCAGGGAGGATGAACGGTGGTACCAGGCATGTCATCTAGCAATGTGGAGAGGCTGAAGGGCCTGTCCCAGCTAGTCAGGGCATGACAAAATGTGGTCCACTGGAAAAGGGAATGGCAAACCTCTTCAGTATTCTTGCCTCGAGAACCCCGTGAACAGTATGAAAGGGAAAAAAGAACACTGAAAGATGAGCTCCCCTAGGTTGGTGGGTGTCCAATATGCTACTGGAGAAGGGCAGAGAAATAGCTCCACAAAAAGTTTAAGAGGTAGAGCCAAAGCAGAAACAACACCCAGCTGTGGCTGTGTGTAGTGGTGGAAGTAAAGTCTGATGCTGTAAAGAACAACAGTGCACAGGAACCTGGAATGTTAGGTCCCTGAATCAAGGCAAATTAGAAGTGGTCAAACAGGAGACGGCAAGAGTGAACACTGACATTTTAGGAATCAGTGAACTAAAATGGATGGGAATGGGTGAATTTAATTCAGATGACCATTATATAGCTACTACTGTGGGCAAGAATCCCTTAGAAGCAATAGAGTAGCCCTCACAGTCAACAAAATAGTCTGAAATGCAGTAGCTGGGTGCAATCTCAAAAATGAAAGAATGATCTTGTTTCATTTCCAAGGCCAACCATTCAACATGACAGTAATCCAAGTCTATGTCCCAAATACTAATGCAGAAGAAGCTGAAGTTGAATGATTACATGGAGACTTACAAGACCTCCTAGAACCAACACCAAAAAAAGACATCCTTTTCATTATAGGGGACTGGAATGCAAAAGTAAGGAGTCAAGAGATACCTGGAGTAACAAGCAAGTTTGGCCTTGGAGTACAAAATGAAGCAGGGCAAAGGCTAACAGAGTCTTGCCAAAAGAACTCATTCGTCATAGCAAACACCCTGTTCCAACAACGTAAGAGATGATGCTATACATGGACATCACCAGATGGTCAATGTTAAAATCAGATTGATTGTATTCTTTGCAGCTGAAGATGGGGAAGCGCTACACAGTCACCAAAAACAAGACCTGGAGCTGACTGTGGATCAGATCATGAGATCCTTATTTCAAAATTTAGGCTCAAATTGAAGAAAGCAGAGAAAACCGCTGGGCCATTCAAGTACGACCTAAATTAAATCCCTTATGATTATACAGTTGCGGTGATGAATAAATTCAAGGGACTAGATCTGGCAAACAGTGTGCCTGAAGAACTCTGGAGGGAGGTTCATACCATTGCACAGGAGGTGGTGACTAAAACTATCCCCAAGAAAAAGAAATGCAAGAAAGCAAAGTGGTTGTTTGAGGAGGCCTTACAAATAGCTGAGAAAAGAAGAGAAGTAAAAGGCAAAAGAGAAAGGGAAAGATACACCCAACTGAATGCAGAGTTCCAGAGAACAGCAGAGAGAGATGAGAAAACTTTCTTAAGTGAACAATGCACAGAAATAGAGGAAACAATAGAACGGAAAAGGCTAGAGATCTCTTCAAGAAAATCAATACCAAGGGAACATTTCATGCAAAGATGGGCACAATAAAGGACAGAAACGGCAAGGACTTAACAAAAGCAGAAGAGATTAAGAGGAATTGGCAAGAATACGTAGAAGAACTATACAAAAAAGATTTTAATGACCCAGATAACCACAACGGTCACTCACATCCTGGAATGTGAGATCAAGTGGGCCTTAGGAAGTATTAATGTGAACATAGCTAGTGGAGGTGATGGCCTTCTAGCTGAGCTATTTCAATCCTAAAAGATGATGCTGTTAAAGTGCTACACTCAATATGCCAGCAAATTTAGAAAACTCAGCAGTGGCCAAAGGAGTGGAAAAGGTCAGTTTTCATTCCAATCCCAAAGAAGGGCAATGCCAAAGAATGTTCAAACTATTGCACAATTGCACTCATTTCACACACGAGCAAGGTAATACTCAAAATCCTTCAAGCCAGGCTTCAACAGTATGTGAGCTGAGAACTTCCAGATGTTCAAGCTGAATTTAGAACAGACAGAGGAACTGGAGATCAAATTGCCAACATCTGCTGGATCATAGAAAAAGCAAGGGAATTCCAAAAAACATCTACTTCTACTTCACTGACTATGCTAAAGGCTTTGACTGTGTGGATCACAACAAACTTTAAAAATTCTTAAAGAGATGGGAATACCAGACCACCTGACCTGCCTCCTGAGAAATCTGTATGCAGGTCAAGAAGCAACAGTTAGAACTGGACATGGAACAACAGACTGGTTCCAAACTGGGAAAGGAGTACGTCAAGGCTATGTATTGTCACTCTGCTTATTTAACTTATATGCAGAGTGTATTATGTGAAATGCCAGGCTGGATGAAGCACAAGCTGGGATCAACCCTGAACATTCACTGGAAGAACCTGTGTTGAAGCTGAAGCTCCAATACCTTGGACACCTGATGTAAAGAGCTGACTCATTGGAAAAGACCTTGATGCTGGGAAAGATTGAGGGCAAGAGAAGAACAGGGTGACAGAGGATGAGATGGTTGGATGGCATCACTGACTCAATGGACATGAGTTTGAGCAAACTGCAGGAGATAGTGAAGGACAGAGAAGCCTGGCGTGCTGCAGTTCGTGGGGTTGCAAAGAGTGGGACACAACTTAGTGACTGAACAACAACAACATGTGTATAACTAATTCACTTTGATGTACAGCAGAAGGTAACATGACAAAGTCAATTAACTATACTCTAATAAAAATTTTTTAAAAAGTAAGAACTTGAACCTTCTGGAAATATCAACTTACGAAACAGAAAGCTGTAGCATTTCAGTGTCTTGGGGGTGGATCGTTTATACAAAAAATTTTTGAAGCTAGTAATAATAATAGTAAACTCCATTGTTGTAAAAAAAAAAAAAGTGGTTAATGAATGCAAGAATGAGTGAATGAATGAATCCTTTAGCTTGGCACATAAGACCCTTAGTGGTTTTGTCCCTGCCTTCCACTCCACCTCCAGACCCATCTCCTGGTGACTCAGGCCACAGTACAGAGAAGGGCGGATGCCGGGGATCAGCCAGGAGACTCCTGTGGTGTCCAGACGGCAAAAAAGCTGAGGTGGGGGTGATGGCAGAGAAGGAGCACAGAGGCCAGGCTGCAAAACTATTTAGTGAGGAAAACAGACAGGATGTGCTGAAGACTGGATTGGGAGATGAGGGAGAGCAACCACCCAGGGTGACCTCTGGGTTTCTGGATTATCAAAGTGGATGGACAGCAATCCCACTCAGAATTAATGGGAAGAAGGTCCAGCTGGGGGTAAGGCCATGAGTTAGATATCTTGGGGTACTTCTGAAGTATCCACAGTTGATGAGATTAGGTAAGGCAGTTAGGTGGACATACAGGTCTGGAAGTCAGAGGAAAAGTCAGGAGTCGGATTATACTAAACTGGCTACAGCAGTCTCTGCCTCTCTCCAGGCGCAGTGCATGGCCCCCAGGGCCTGGAGTACATACACCCGCCTCACTGCCTGGCCATCAGTCATCGCCTGCCTGGGAGGGAGTCACCTCAGTGCCTGTGCGTGTCTTGGGCCCTGATTTGCCCACTGGGTTTTATTGGTTAAGTAGTGCCTTTTACCTCTTAAAAAAAAAAACAAAACTGAATATAATTGATGAACAGTATTACATCAAATGTAGAACAGAGTGATTCAATGTTTTTATAGATTATACTTCTAAAGTTATTACAAAACAACTGGCTGCAACCCCTGCACTGTATGATATACCCTGTT